GGAAAGGAAAGGAAAGGAAAGGAAAGGAAAAAAGACTTGGTGCTAATGAAACATTAGTATATTATTAATATCATCTGTGGCACTAATTTAAGGCTGATTGAAGCCACATAGGCTAAGCGAGCAGGAGGCTTCTTTAAAAGAGAGGAAAAGAGGTGGGTGTAGCAAGGGGCATTAAAGGAACTGAAAATGGTTTTGAGCAGATTCAATTAATTCCATGTCTGTTTTGTCAACTTCTTTCTTCACAATGGTTTCTTGACTTATCTTCTGTTGCTCGCTGCAAAGGGAACAACACCTAAGGATTCAGGGAAGTAGGAAAGAGAGAATCATGTGGACATTAGTAAAGTAGCCGGGAAATTTCAGACAGGGCCTGGAGTGGAGGTGGGGGATGTTGGATGAAACAAATGGTGGGTGTTGGCACTTGGAAGGAGGGTGGAGATAAATGGCTGAAGGAGAATCCTTTTGAGCAATATTTTTGTCCACTCGGTCAAAACATCTGCCTGGAAGTGATGAAGAAATATCAAAGTGGGGTTCTCTAAGCTGGTGGCCTCCAGATGTGATGGATTCCAAGTTGTGTTACTCCCAGCCAGCATCATGGAAAGCTGGCTTGACATTATAGAAAATAAAGTTCAACACATCAGAGAGGGATGCTAAGCGAGGGAAGGGTGATCTAAATTGTTATGTTAACTGACTATATAATCAAATATGACTCTAATATAATTGGCCTCAACATCTCATCTGAATCTTATTTTCATTCCCAGGAAAATGGGACTGCACATTAGGGTTATCTTTGCATGGGAAAGTGACAAAATGGTTTAGTGCTTAAAATTGCATTTTGCAGTGCATACTTTTGGAATGTTTTGGGTACATTTCTATTTCAATTGAAGCTGCCCCAGAATATGCAGCTGCAAGTGGGAAATGGGGGGTGAAGGGAGGAGAAATGCAAGTGAGTTTTGACTCATGCCTCATCCATGTAATGGTGAGATGGCAAATGAAATTGCAGAGATTAGCCAAGGAGTCCTCAGATCCTGTATAGTTAAATGTGAGATGGGAAGTGCTTTGCTTTGCTTGGATAAGATGCAGCATCAGTGGGTGAGAATTTGCCCCATTTGGTGAAATAAAATCCATTCTGGAGAAAAAAAAAAAAAAATGTCTTCCTTCCATCCTTCTTGTAGCTTACCATTGAGGTTTTGGGTGAACATGATCAAAAACCCACAGTTCGTCTTTGACATTCACAAGAACAGCATCACAGATGCCTGCTTATCGGTGGTAGCACAAACCTTCATGGATTCCTGTTCAACCTCAGAGCACCGTTTGGGCAAAGATTCCCCATCCAATAAGCTGCTTTATGCCAAGGACATCCCCAGCTACAAGAACTGGGTGGAAAGGTATGTCTTGCTCTCTTTTTTTGTAATACAGGAAGTCCTTGACTTACTATCATTCATTTAGCCACTGTTTGAAGTTATGACGGTGCTAAAAAAGTGACTTACGACCGGTCCTCGCACTTATGACTGTTGCAGTGTCCCTGCAGTCACATGATCAAAATTCAGATGCTTGGCAACCAGCATGTATTTACAATGGTTGCAGGGTCCCAGAGTCATGTGATCGCCATTTGCAATCTTCCCAGGGGGCTTCTGACAAGCAAAGTCAATGGGGAACTGTGTGATTCACTTAACGACCACATGATTTGCTTAACCACATGATTCACTTAGCAACTGTGGTGATTCACTTAACAACCATTGCAAAAATGTCATAAAATCGGATGGAGTCGCATGGTGCTTCGCTTCATGACTGCATTGCTTAACAATGAATTTTCTAGTCCCTGTTATGGCCATAAGCTGAAACTACCTGTAGCATCACTGTATAGTTGGACATTGCCAAGAAAGTCACAGGTTCCTACCTCTGTAATAATGAGCTCCAGTTATAGAGGTAGCACGCATATCACGAGGAGGAGAAGAGCAAACCTAGTTGCACATTCTTGCAGGATTGCTGTGAGCCTTCTTGAAGCATCTACCTGTTCATTGTTGGAGACCTCTGAATGGGTCTCTTTCCCTTCTGTTCCTCCTATTTCTTCTTCCCACTCGAGCAGAGAGCAGGGCTGGCCAGAGCACCTTAGCTCAGCATGGTTTTCATGCTGCCAGGCTCTTGAATTAGAAGGATGTTCTAATTAGGCAGCTAGTTTCCAGTTGTGATCTTTTCTCCAAGAGAAAATACCGTTGAAGGAGCGGGAAGAAAGAGGACAGAGCCACAAAGGCAAATGCATCTCTCATCCATTCGTGTCCTTCAAGGCACACAATCAGATCCTACCCTTTGTGTCCTGCTTACCCTCCAGAGATGGGCTGTTGTGCAGTTTACAAGGACTCCATCTGCCATCTCCCCACGTACACCAATGGGTCATGGCAGCATCTTCTTTCTGTCCTCTGACTTTGCCTTTATGTCAGCCCATGAAAAAGACAGGCTTAAGAGGTCCTTAACTGCACCTGTATTAAAATTGGGTTTCTCTCTTTCTTCAAGGGATAAAACATCTTTTAGGTTTTGTCACTCACTACTTTGGAGAGAAGATAGGGGACTGGCAGTCACTGGGAAGAGAGGCAATGGATCCACTGGTAGAGAATAGATGTAGCTCAGGGTTGAACTGTTGGGTTCTTGGTGTTCTCTGAGCTTGGTGGTTTTCCTGCAGACGTTTCATTACCCACCTAGGTAACGTCATCTGTTCATGGGAGAGTGTAGTTCTCTAGGGCAAACTATTATCCATTAACAGCCGGCAAACCCCACTCTCTAACCTGGTAATGAAACATCTGCAGGAAAACCATCAAGTTCAGAGAACACCAAGAACCCAACAAAGGCAATAGAGGCAGGACACCGATCAGGTCAACTTAGGGATTGGTGGGGAGCCCTGTAACTCAAGAGAAAGGAAAGGCCCAATGTTCATTTTGCTGTATGTCTTCACTCATGGTTTCCCATCAGTTTGTCCCTTTAACTATACAGTGTCAGGCCCAGCCCAAGAAGAACGAGGAGACAGTCCAGTACAATATAGTTCCTTTATTTGCTTACACCCTAAAGACAGAATCTCAGCAGACTAAATCTGTGCTAAAGCAACTAGGCCAGGGTTCCTCAACCTTGGCGACTTGAAGATGTGTGGACTTCAACTCCCAGAATTCCCC